CCCCCTCACCTCTCTCCCTCTCTCCTCTCCTTCCCTTTCCCTCTCTCCCTCTTTCTTTCCTTCCCTCTCTCCCTCCCTCGCCTCCCCCTTTCCCGCTAGGCCAGGGAGATCAGTCTCTGAGACAGCGAGAAGGAGACAGAGGAGAAAGGCAGCTGTGTGTGTGTGTGTGTGTGTGTGTGTGTGTGTGTGTGTGTGTGTGTGTGTGTGTGTGTGTGAGGCTGCCATTGGGCGTGTGCAGATCCCCATAATTACCCCAATCTTAATGACATTGCGGCGGGAATGTGAGATGATGATGATGGGGGGGTAATCTCCTTTCGACACAAAAGGATCAGAGATACATCGGCATCATTAGCATAGAAATTAGGCTCCCCATTATAGCAGAAGAAGAGAGGAACAGCCGCTCCTCAGCCAGAGTAGAGTACCATCCCTGATCCCTCCCCAAAGGGAACCCACTCCGACCTCTCCCCAGAGACAGGGCTCGGGCCAGGGGGAGCAGCAAGGAGGAGTGGCCCAGCTGGATTGAGCCGTCCTCTGGGATCAGAGTGTGTCTGAGCCGTTGGCCTTGTACATCCCTTCGGGGCTCGGCTAGGCTAATGCTGACAGCGGAGCAGGCCGGGTTTAAGACGTTAAGCCTCCCTGAGTTGAAACCCAAGAGACCCCCCTCTGGTCCCAAATCCTCCCAGGAGAATTCTCTTTTCTTTTAGCTCCCCCACATCCTCCATCTCCCATGATCTCTCATGCCTCATCTCTTTGGTGCTCCTCCTCTCACTCCTGTATCTTCAACCTGCTCTGCTCTCTCTCCTCTTTTTAGTTTCATTCATCTACCTTCTCCATTCATCCTCTAATCCCCCAATCCCCCATGTCCTCTCTCTCTATTTTCTCTCTGACCAAGTTCTTCCCCACTGCCTCAATGACACCTCTGAGGACTTTTAGGCCTAAAATACTGAAACATATTTCACCAAAAGGCCTGTGTAGGTGGAGAGACGATTGCGGGCCCTTAGGCTGAGTGGGGTCTAATCACATTGTCTGTGGCCCAAATTGCACCCAATTCCCTATATAATAGTGCAGTATCTTGACCAGGGCCCATAGGGTTCTGGTCAAAAGTAGTGCACCATATAGGTAATTGGGTGACATTTGGGACGCATCCAATATCCCCGCCGTCAAGCCTTTTCAGATGAATGATCATAAAGCACAGAAAACACTCTATTTAAGATTGAGCACCAAAATATGAACCAGAGACCCACAACACCCTCCTGTCTGAGTTATTCATTGGAGCCTCATTAATATGCATGAGCCTGTAGGTGAGCCTGCTGAATATTCATGTCCTGGCAGGTGATGAGACTGGCTGTGATAGACACTGTTTGAGATGGCTGTCTGGATGAATTCTAGAAGGTTTCTTTGTTCAGCATACTATTGAATACTGTACATCCCTATGGTCGGGCTGTTTTGCACGGGTCTGTGAAATGTAGTTGATAGCGTTTCATTGAGTTCAGGCAGACAGACAGATGGGCGGTGTTCTGATTAGACTGGTAGAGAGTGATGGTAAGAGGTTGGAGAGATACTATAGAGCACAGCCTTAACAGTGCACTTTCCTCCCCACCTCCTGGACCGTAAAATACCTCCCCAATAAGTTTTCATCTGTTCCCGCACTTGGCTCTGCAAATAAAGAACCGCTTAACGGCGTTGTGGCATATAGCTATGAGGAGAGCGAAGACGGAACGTGTGCATGTGTCGGGCATGAAGCTTGTTTTCCTGCCTGCGTTCTTGACGTGAATGGGGCTGTGTTTGTGGCCATTGTGTGCTTTACGCCACTGGTAAATAAGGGGCTTTATCTGGGCTCTGCAGCACACTCCGCAATTAACGCCTTCTGACGACAAATTGGACACACTCAGGGAGCGGGAAGAAGGGGGGTGGGTTTCGATGAGCTTCTTAGAGAACGTAAAAGTGTGTGCTCTAACGATGCCACGTGCTCTGCACACTGCTAACACACTCCAACCGCCACACATACACACAGAATCATGTTTAACAAAGAGAAAACACTCGCTCTGTTTTAGGAGAATGAGGGATGTAGGTCATTTAATCATGCCTGGCGATGGCAGTGCAGGGATCTCTGGCATTGTTTAATTTGGTCTGTTCCCTCACTGGGAGACCCAGCAGGACTGTCTCAGGTATTCTAGCCACACCCTCAGTAGCATTTACTTCAAGGTTAACTTCTAAAATGATCATCTCCTCATCTAACATCTAGTATCTGATTAACTCCCAATTCCCAGAATAGGCCCCTTTCACTGACCAGAGTACAGAGGCCTCGGAGGGACAGAAATCATACACAGGATCACAGCAGCACTCACTATCTCTTGTACTGGTGAGAGATTACACAGAGCTGAGAGGGAGAGTAGAACACATCTCAGAACCTGTTGCACACACACACACACATTTTAAATACTTTATTTGAATCCACATATTACATTACACACGCAAAGGCATAGGGCCTGGGTTTGAGTGACACACCAGCTAATGCAGAACAGGGATGACAAGTGTTTCCATCTTACTTTGGGTTGGCACCCTGAGACTCATTAAAGAAACACACTCACGCAGAACATGCAAACACACAAAACATAGACATTAACAGACTCGCTAAAACACACACACACACACACACACACACAGAATCCAGCTGTAAACGGAACTGGCAATACCCATTCAGGATGTATGGCCTTGTAACAGATGTGTGATTGAGCAAGCCTCTACATATGCATGCTCTTTTCCCAAAGCATCAACACACACACACACACACACACAGAAAAAGCGAGAGATCCCTGCACAAACACTGAGTGTATAAAACATTAGGAACACCGGCTCTTTCCTTGACATAGACTGACCAGGTAAAAGCTATAATTCTTTATTGATGTCACTTCAACCAGTGTAGATGAAGGGGAGGAGACAAGTTAAAGAAGGATTTGAGACAATTGAGACATGGATTGTGTATGTGTGCCATTCAGAGGGTGAATGGGCAAGACAAAAGATTTCAGTGCCTTTGAAAGGGGTATGGTGGTAGGTGCTAGGCGCACCGGTTTGAGTGTGTCAAGAACTGCAACGCTGCTGGGTTTTTAATGCACAACAGTATTCCGTGCGTATCAAGGTCCACCAACCAAAGGACATCCAGCCAACTTGACACAACTGTGGGAAGCATTGGAGTCAACATGGGCCAGCATCCCTGTGGAACGCTTTCGACACCTTGTAGAGTCTATGCCCCGACAAATTGAGGCTGTTCTGAGGGCAAAAGGGAGGGGTGCAACTCAATACTAGGAAGGTGTTCCTAATGTTTTGTACACTCAGTGTACAGTATGCACGTCATATTCCCAGTCCATGTACTCTACATCCTCATCCCCACAGCCCAGTTCTTTGCCTCTGTTCCTGTTGAAGACAACCTCGTTTTAAATGCCATTGGACACATGCACATGTTTGTGTGACTGGTCCTGGTGCGTAGTCTCTCCCCCTCTCTCTCTGCAGTGTGAAAAGGTTTTCACTGGTCTTGTTTTGAAGCCACTGGACCTGTTTCAGCGCTCATAATGACTTAATGCCTTTATAATGGGTTATAATGCACCATAATGGGCTTGAATTGCTGGTAATTGGTCAGGGTTTGAAGTTGAACAGGCCTTTCTGTAAACACTGGTCCAAGGCAATAGGCTTATAACCCCCCCCCCCACTCTCCTCTCTTTTCCTAATGGATTCTAACTTCAAATGGGGAAAAACAGTGAGGCGCGTTGTCCTGTGCCAATCCAATCCAGCACGGTTCCACTCCAGGAGATTCCGAGGTAATTCTCTCCCGGAGAATGATTGCCAGGATTCCGGAGGGTTCGTCTGTAATTCCGGCTGGAGTGATTGTCGGGGTTCGGAGCCTTCAGAGCGGGTCTCTCTACAGTGTGTAGCCAGCCAAAGATTACACATTTCGGAACTCACTCAAGAGGCCATTGTGGAGAGGAAAGAGGGCTGTGAAAATGCATCTTAGAGCATGGCCAAATGCTAGCTCTCTCTCACACACACACACACACACACACACATGCTCTGACCATCCGAGCGCATTCACCAATCTGTGAGTAAGGGTGAAATTCTCTAGGCAGATGGTTGTGACTCCAGGCAGTCAGTTCTATCAAGGCTCAGCACAGGCAATAGGGAGAACTCTGTATGTGTATGTGTGTGTGTGCTACTCACAAGCCTCTGCCTGTGTTAAAGTGGTGGATTTGTCCTATTTCATGCCCTGGTGTTCAAGTGAGGCTGGTGAATTAAATCTGTTTTATTTTACATTGATGATAATGTACCTTTTCATGTGTGACCTAGTTAATGTTTTAGTTGATCAGTTAAGGGGTGTGTGTGTTTGTGTGTACACACGTTTTGTTTTCTCTCAACTGTGACACAGCGGGGGGTGAGGCGCCAGTCGGTCACACTTGATGTACCTGTAGCTAATCCAATCTCACACCTGATGTCCCTGTAACCAATTCAGTCACAGCGCCCTGAGCCCCATCCCGACGCTACCTCCCTGACATCATATTCTAGCACTGCCTCCCTCCATATCTCAATCTCTTCCTTCCTCTAACTCCCACAGGCCTCTTACGCCTCCTTTCCTCATCTCTCCATCTCTTTTTCTCTTGCTCCCACAGATCAGATTCTTTCATCTCTCCCTATCTCTATCTTTGCCTCTCTCGCTTTTAAACTGAGTCTTGCGTACCCCTCCTCCCTTCATCCCGTCCCTTCCATCTCTCCCTCCACTCCTCCGCCCACACACTAATATCCTCTCCTTTTCAGCAGGAAATGAAGACAGCCTCAACAAGTCTGTCACAAACAGAAATTACATTGTGTACCTGTCACCAGCATTCACTTGTTTCTATAAACACTGAAATAACTCTCCCTCCCACCACTACCTTCCTACCCTCCCTTTCTTCCCCTCTCTCACTACTTCCCTCCCCTCCCTCTCCTCCCTCTCCTCCCTCTCCTTCACAGTGAGTAAACTGCGGGTGCAGAACACCAACCAGTCCCTGTTCTACCTGGAGGACAGTCGCGTGCGTGTCAACTGCTCCGTGGCGTCCCAGACCAGCCAAGACTCCCAGCATGCCGTGCTCTGGTATGTGCGCCGCGCGGTGGGTGCTGAGGCCGATGAACTGCTGCTGAGGATCGAGCGCTCGGGTGCGTTTGAATACGGCGCGTATGCGGACGAGGAGAGGTTGAGGCGACGGGTGCAGGCTGAGAGGCTGTCGCCACGGCTTTACGCGCTGACACTGAACAGGGCGGAGAGCAGCGACTCTGGGACGTACTACTGCCTGGTGGAGGAGTGGCTCACAGACCCAGATGGAGTCTGGTACAGACTGGCACGGGACTCCTCAGGCTTCACACAGGTCCTAGTCAGACAACCAGGTGAGGAGGGAACAAGGGGAGGGATATAGGGATGGATGGGATGAAGCCTGGTACAAACTGGCACGGGGCTCCTCACTCAGCCTTTACACACAGAAATCTTCCTAAGAGAAATAGCAAGAGCCCAGTCTCTCTCTCTCGATCGCTCTCTCTCTCTCTCGATCGCACTCTCTCTCTCTCTCTCTCACCTTCCCTCTCTCTCTCTCTCTCTCTCTCTCTCTCTCACCTTCCCTCTCTCTCTCTCTCTCTCTCTCTCTCTCTCTCTCTCTCTCTCTCTCTCTCTCTCTCTCTCTCTCTCTCTCTCTCTCTCTCACCTTCCCATTTACACCAGAGATCTGTATATAATGATGAGATGCTCATTTCTCCATGCTAACAATGGGAGTTGTCCCAAAAGTGGGAAGGCAGGTGACAAGCTTAGGTCCAAAATAAGCCCATAGAAACATATTGGCCTTAATTTGGACAGATTTTGGCGAGAGTGAAACCTCTCGCTTCGCCTCTTCCTCTCCGTTTACACACACACCCCAAGATCACTTCTTCCTCTCTGACAAGCGGTTTCAACTCTCTATTTGCATTTGAGGTTTGGTACAACAGAATCGGTCATATGGACACCAAAACACATTGAAACATTATTTTACTGTAATAGAGGAGACGTTAATCTTTCTAATGATACCCTTTTTATGTCTCAACTCCTCAAATTGTGCGCAAAGCAGACACTACTAAAACAGGAGTATCAATGAACATTCATTCTGGAAAATTAATACTCAGTTTGTCGCGTGCCTGCATTGCGGTACCACATACTGCTAGCAGCATTTTATTCAAAGACTGTTATACTAGCTGTCTAGTCTGTGTTTTATAAATGTGCAATAAGCATAAAACACAATTAAATAAGGAATTGGCAACTCGTTCTCATTCTGAAAAATAAGGTAGGCCACTTGATTTCAACACCTGAAAAAAGTGGATAGGCTAGCAGTTGGAGAAGGACAGAAGGGTGTGTTCAACTGTTCTGCCTTGTTAGCTAGAAAATAGATCCAAGTTGGCTAAACTTGAAATATAAAGATTAGCTGGCTACTTACTAGCATGTGGGCTTGTGCTTGAGAGATTGTTTATGAGACCTGTGTTAATGTTCTATAATGTCTGCTACAAGAAGTTAGTCATTATTAGTGAATGTGCATTATGCATGGTTCTGGTTAAAGGGGCATTTCATAGACATACTTGAAAGCCAGATCAGTGGTTATTGCAAAAAAGCACGTTAAACTACGCTGAACAAAAATATAAAACGCAATATGTAAAGTGTTGGTCCCATGTTTCATGAGTTGAAATAAAATAATTGGCCATACGCACAACAAGCTTATTTCTCTAAAGTTTTGTGCACACATTTGTTTACACCCCTGTTGGTGAGCATTTCTCCTTTAGCAAGATAATCCATCCATCTGCCAGGTGTGGCATATCAAGAAGCTGATTAAACAGCATGATCATTACCACAGGTGCACCTTGTTTCTGGGGACAATAAAAGGCCACTCTTAAATGTGCAGTTTTGTCACAGATGTACCACAGATGTCTCAAGTTTTGAGGGAGTGTGCAATTGGCATGCTGACTGCAGGAATGTCCACCTGAGCTGTTGCCAGAGAATTGAATGTTAATTTCTCTACCAAAAGCCGCCTCCAACGTTGTTTTAGAGAATTTGGCAGTACGTTCAACCGGCCTCACAATCGCAGATCACATGTATGGCGCCATGTGGGCGAGCGGTTTGCTGATGTCAACGTTGTGAACAGAGTGCCCCATGGTGGCGGTGGGGTTATGGTATGGGCAGGCATAAGCTACGGACAACGAACACAATTGCCTTTTATCGATGGCAATTTGAATGCACAGAGATAACGTGACGAGATCCTGAGGCCCTTTGTCGTGCCATTCATCCGCCGCCATCACCTCATGTTTCAGCAGGATAATGCACGGCCCCATCTGTACATAATTCCTGGAATCTGAAAATGTCCCAGTTCTTCCATGGCCTGCATACTCCCCAGACATGTCACCAATTGAGCATGTTTGAGATGCTCTGGATCGACGTGTACGACCTCGTGTTCCAGTTCCCGCCAATATCCAGCAACTTCGCACAGCCATTGAAGAGTGAGACACCATTCCACAGGCCACAATCAACAGCATGATCAACTCTATGAGAAGGAGATGTGTCGTGCTGCATGAGGTAAATGGTGATAATACCAGATACTGACTGGTTGTTTGATCCACGTCCCTTCCTATTTTTTAAGGTATCTGTGACCAACAGATTCATATCTATATTTCCAGTCATGTGAAATCCATAGATTAGGGCCTAATGAATTTATTTCAATTGACTGATTTCCTTATATGAGCTGTAACTCAGTAAAATCTTTGAAAATGTTGCATGTTGCATGTATATTTTTGTTCAGTATATTTTGATCAAATAAGTACATTATTAGTGGGTCTTATGGTTGTGGAAGGCTTATATTTATTTTTATTTCACACGCCCTCAATTCATTACATTATTGCTGACTGTTTGAAATGAAGTGTATTTGACCTTCAATTGTACAACAAAGCTTATTTAGAGAAAAAAAATTTTTAATGTAGATGTATATCGTGAATCTAGAAACGAAAAAATTTAGATATGATTTTTAGGCCATATCGCCCGGCCCTAGCCCCTCCCACTGTCTACATCCCTTTGTCCCACCAATCACCTCCCCTCCAACCAGCTACCCCTCTATTACCCTCCTCACCCCCCTATGCGGAAGGTGACTGTTTACAGACAAACATGGCTACCCCCTCCCCCTAACATCTCTGAAAGCAATCTGTTGTGCCAGGGGTCCTGTGAGTAGGGCATTATAAATGCAGGGTGAAATGTGCGGGTGTCCGTGGCATCTGCCCAACTGCAACATGAAGATCAGACAGAAGGGCTGGAGTTGGTCAGGGAGCAACAGCGCTCATTTGTAATGAGCGCTGTTCCCCCAATTACATGAATGCTGAAAAACACACTCACGCTGTGAAACACATACATTGCAGAAACATATCCGTTTGTCTCCTTCAATTCCACGCCCTTGTGCTTGTGTGTATTCATGATTATGTGTGTATATCAGTGAATCACTTTGTTTTTTCTTTGAGTGTCTCACCTCTGTTTCCTTCAGGATCCCAAGGCTCACTAGGGTATTGGGTTATTATCAAACACCATATCAGGGAGCGCTCATTCCATATATAGTTATATATGTACAACTATATAAATATATAATGATGGGCGGCAAACTTCCAGGCCTGATTTCCCAGGTGGCTGTTGGGAGGGTCTCATTAAGGTGCTAAAGAATGCAGTCACCCAGGAAGTCAAACAGAAATGGTTCAGAGGAAAGATGAGATGAGATGCCAGTTCTCCCCTTGTCTGTCATCTTCCCCTCTCCTCTCTCTGCGCTCTCCTTTTTAACAAGAAGAAACATTACAGACAGCCTGATCTAGCAGAGTCTTTTTAAGTTCAGTTCTTTTTACCTGTTCTAACTGGGTCAGTGTACAGGCCCAGTAGGAGTGTAGCCATCCCACACAGACACTCTCCCGCGGGGCTAGTAGCCTCTAAGAGGGAGGGAGGCCCGGGCCTGGAGAAGCTGGTGGGGCTAGTTACCCTGTTAGCCACATTTTTGAGGATTTGGGGTTTTGGCATTTAAGGGTAGTTGGGCACGTAAAACTGACGAGAGAGTTTATGATTGTGTTTTTGATTATGTGTGTTGAGGTTTTGAAGTATATCATGATTTGAAGCACATCGGTATCTGCCAGTGTAAAGTTTTCTGTTTCAAGGAATGACAATTATTCTGCTGTTCTAGCCCCAATAATGAGCTTAAAATTTGAATTTTCCTCTCTCTCTCTCTCTCTCTCTCTCTCTCTCTCTCTCTCTCTCTCTCTCTCTCTCTCTCTCTCTCTCTCTCTCTCTCTCTGCCTCTCTCTGCCTGCAGAGGTGCGGTTGCAGGTGGAGGAGTCTGTGTCTAACATCACTGTGTCCCAGTCCGGTTCCATCCGGTTGGGCTGCAGCATCCCTTCCCAGTCCTCCCGAGACTCCCGCTTCTCAGTGTCCTGGTACGTGGAGCGCTCCTTCACGCGCTCCCTGGAGGAGGAAGATGAGGAAGAGGCAGACAGATTGTGTGTGTTCTCCATTGGACACGATGCCGTATTCGGGAACGGGAACTGTAGCCCCACTGAGGAGGCGGGGCCTAACTCACGTCTGCAGTTTGAGAGGACAACCTCTGACCTCTACAGCCTGACCATCCAGGGGGCACAGCCCACTGACGCAGGGCACTACTACTGTCACGTGGAGGAGTGGCTGCTCAACCCCCGCAATGCCTGGTATCGCCTGGCGACCAACAACTCTGGTGTCACCATCGTCAACGTGATCCAGCAGGGTAAATCAATCAATCAATCTAACATTTATTTTTAATAGTGCTTTTTTAAATAAAACAGATGGTGCCACATGGTGAATGACAATGGCCTGGGGCTACAAAAATAACATTTCAGCTGCACTGCGTTTTTTTCCAACCGTGGCCTACCAACTTCTCCCATTTGTATCATTATCATTCTACAGATGGCATATGAGATCATTGGCTCGTGCTGATCTTACTGATGATTCTGGTCTTTGAGTTAGTACTGACACAGTCACATCTACGACTATTGGCTGCTATAAGTAGCATGCCAAAGAAACATCAAACTACACCATAATGGAATGCTCTCCATTGATGTCATCTTTTCATCCGTATGGCACTCTCATCCAATTTTCTCTTTTCTCTCTCTTATCTCCCCCCATCTTTCTCTCTCCCTCCCCACAGTCTCTACCCTGCAGTCGGTGGTGTGCTCCAATGACTCTCTCTTCTACTTTATCTTCTTCTACCCGTTCCCCATCTTCGGCATCCTCCTCATCGCCGTGCTCCTGGTGCGCTATAAGAGCCGCAGCCACAGCAAGTCCCAGGAGGGCAAGAACGGCGCCCCCTTACTGTGGATCAAAGAACCCCACCTCAGCTACTCGCCCACCTGCCTGGACCCCCCCGTCCTCAGCCTGCACCCTGGCTCAGTGGAGTAAGGGAGCAACCCATAGCTCTCTACCACCCCGTACTCATCGCGGACCCAACCAATACCACGCCAGGGAGGGTCTACTCCGGACCTCCACCTGACCAATCACTGCTGTGTCCAAGCTGTCAATCAATCTGTTCGTCCATGTATAACCCCGCCCCCCGTGGTTGCCCCGGCTGTGCCGGCTGCCTGTCTGTGAGATACTCTGCAGCAGCCCTGTCGTGTGTGTCTGTGTGTGTGGAAAAGTGTGTTTGAGCCAAATGTGCAGCCGTGTGTGTGTTTGGAAGTGTGATTGGATGTATCTCTCGCTCTCATTTTTTTCCTTTCCCTCTTTCTCACTCTCATCTTCTCTTCTTCCAGTGAAAAACATAGCTAGAGGTTGTTGTTTTTTCTTACCTTCGTCTGTTTTTCAAAAGACGTGCAGATCAGTCTGCTAGAATGAAACAATTTGGGAACAAGAAAATTATTATTCAAGGAGCCTATATGGGCATACTGTTCTGTAATGAACTGAACTGAGGATGTAGTGAGGAGGATGAAAAGGAATCTCTGTGCTCGTTTGACTTAGCACTGAACTCAGATCAGTCCCTGCCTGGCCTTATACCTTGGTTACCATAGAGAGGGCCCTTTTCCCACTGACTCCAGAGCTGTGGACTGGACTGCCACAGAAACACTGAAACACAAAGACAATCCCTGTGGCTTAGAAGAGATCTGTGTGTGCGTGACAATGTGAAAGTGTGTGTGTTCACCCACCTGTCTCCTCAGTGTGTTTGCCTTGGCAGACAGAGACAGACCTGGCGAGCCCATCGAACATTGCTAGACACTAGGCATCAGTGTGAATGCACACCTCCTCTTCTCCTCCTCTCCAAACAGAGAACGAGGGAAGTAGGGAGGGAAAGAGAGCAAGAGCGAGAAGGAAGGATAAATGAACTCTATCCTGCTGAGGGCATATTTTTGACATGAGGGATATTTCAGTGCCAATAACTTGTTCCAGGCTGTCCTCTGCAACAAATATTTGAAGTTTAAAGGGCGAGCAAAGCCGATTGGCTCCGAGGCACTCTGTAAATATGGCTGCCGACCCCATGCTGGGGGATTATAGGCCTTGTAGGCAGAAAGGGCGATTTTTACGCTTATGTTAAACCCGTTGAGTAGTTTCTGCATAAATGTATTGACACAGTGGGATTTATTGACTGAAATGAAATTCTCTGCCATTTCAAACGTTGTCTGCTATTAATACCACATGCCGTCTTTAATAGACATGAATTAATGAATACAAGCTGTGCAGCTCTTAGAGAATCCTGTAGAGGGGAGCTGAGCCACAAGACATATCATCGCTAGAGGTGTGTGTAGAGGTTAAGTACTTGTATATTGAAACACACACACACAAAAGCATACCCAAAAACAGTAAATTAACAATACCAACACACCATGGGAATGAATATCAAGTCTGCTATTTTATTAGGATTTTTTTGTACCTTCATTTATATATTTTTGTTATTTTATACTGTTTTGCATAGTTCATGTACATTTTCTTTTTTAAATTCTACTTGCGTTGCCAGGCAACCGCACCACACAGACACAACGTCATGATAACCCTGTGCTGTGTGTCCATAGTAACAGGCACCGAAATGTCGTAGATATAGAAATGCTAGATTAATTTGTTCTGCGCGGTCAGTGGCATCACATTGAAGATTTTCATGTTTTGGCCAGTGTGGAAACACTGTATTAACTAAATGCTCTATACCTGTATTGGAAACCCAGCAGCTTCATTATAGGATGTACAGTAGATTAACAGCGAGAGTCACAAAATGGATCCACTTGAAGCTTTTGCTCGTCTTGTTTATTTATTGAAATGTACCGTGGCACCTAGTTAGGATGTATGAGCTCCATAGAAATGCATTAGACTGCCATAGACGACTGGACTGAAGCCAGCCTCCCGTGGACTGTGGCTGTTTCCCCCTGACCTACAGTACATACGGCAGAAGGGTTGGGAATCCGTCACATTCCCAAAGTATGGAACGGCCGGGAGAGGAACTGTGACATTCCTGTTCCGTAAAATAACCCTTTCACTGCCAGACAGACTGCTGAAAGCTCTCGTCATACTCTTCTCAATCGTGTCAAAATGTATATTGCATGACAATATTGCAGGAAGCGTTTTGATGTTTTGTAACCTTTTAACTCTTTAGCGTCGTGTTTGTGTGACCGAGCAATGCCAAGGCCTTCACTTCCTGTGCCAAGTGTCAGACGGATCCATAGAATAGGAAGTCACTTTGAACATAAGATTTTTGGGAGAGGGAGAAGAATACATCACACTTTCCTCTTTTTGGTTGTTTTTATTATTTTCCATCTGCCATTCATATCCTGAGAGAGCAGAAGGCCTCATCACCTGCATTGGTTGACAGCTATAGAACGATGCTTTCAAAGTGTGTATGTGTAGGTGTTTAGCTGTAGCACCAGGCTATGTTAGCTAGTTAGGTCAGCAGTGCGTTATTTCCTTATTGTTCGCTCTAGGCTAGATCTATGCATCACTGAGTTAGATGTGTTGTTTTTAGCCAGTTGAAAGGGCAGTTCAAGCCAACTGTGCATAACCCTGGCCTGAACCCAAGACCCTAAGATAAGATCTGGTCCAACATCTGACCAATCAGAGGTGGACCCTCATTTTTAAACTTCAACACCTTTTCATTGGTTTTGCCACAATTCAGTCATAAGGAAATCAGCCAATCCCTGAATAGCGTGCAGGATCTCTGAATCTAAACCAGGAAGTGGAGGGTGTGGCGTTGGTGTGTGATGTCACAGTGCCACAGTGCGTGATTTGGAGCTGTGTCGTACTCTGAACTCTGAATGGTGTTTTTGTAGTAATCAACATTCCTAGACAAAATCCTAAATGCTCTCCAAGCGTTCCGACAGTGTTGTAGCTGCGTTACGAGGGCTGCATGCAGTGGCTGTGTGCTGGCTCCAGATTTAGCTGTAAAATAACTTTGTGGTGATGTGTTCAGTTCAGCCAGTGCTGCTTTTTTCCAGTGATGTTATTTTTTTAAATGTATGATAAATGATAGTGCACTGAAATGAAAAGGAAGGCCATAGCTTTTTTTAAACGCTTATTGTGTTTTTCGTGTATATGACATGTTTTTGTTGATTTTTATTCTGATATATATTCTATTGAATAGTAACCACTGCTATCATTCAAAAGGCACTTTGCTATTCTGTCAGTTTATTGCAATAAAAACATATTCAGTGCAACCTTAGGTATTGCCATTCCTCCTGACCCTTCTACATGTTTCCTTCTATGAACCTCTAGATATAAGCGCCTGAGCAATGGAGCAAATGGAACAGCTGCACCCCCACTTTCAAAATAGGGGTACAAACACATGTTTTTGCACCCCCACTTTTTTTACCAGAAAATCATCATGAATCATTTGGTAATTTGTCATTTTCAATGATTAGGAATGTTTTGAGATAGTCTGTATTAAAACCGATCCATTTGATATATTAATTAACAGATTGCATTTTGCACCACCTCCCCCCGTCGCCTCAAGATTAATGGTTTTGACCACTTTAAAGTTTTGCTTTGCTCCGGCGTGCCACTATGTTGGTTCAGTGCAGTTAGAAAGCACTAGGTGCACTACTGGTGTTTAAAATTTTAAAGGCACCTTTTCAAAATGTGTGGTTTTAAGAACCAAAACGCAATTACATTATGTATGCAGTGCTTTTCTTTGTTTCTATTCATCAAATTTGGCGATTATTTTAGAATTTTGTTTGGTATGAAGTAGCCTTTAGGAAAGAAAAGGTTGTACAGTGGCTGTACAGTAACATGCTAAACATGACATCAGGGTTCAATGTCGCTTCATTGCTCTGTATGGGTTTTGACTGACAGCTGTGCCGAACTTGAGCCCTGCCCGCGACAAGATGTTGCCCCCATCCCTCCCACTAACTGGGCAACTTTAGCAAATGTGTTGTTGTCCGAGTGAAGGAAATGCTGTAAATTAAGAGGACTCAATGTATTTTGAAAGACATTGAGGATTATAATAAATACCGCTTTAATGTCAGACAAGCAAACCAAACACCCGTGAGTCCAAATGTACATGAATGAATGATTTAATTAATGATTTTCGTGTCAAATCGCCAGTTGGCAACCCATCACTTACGGGATTAATTGACACATAAACAAACATTAGAATGATTCACAGGGATAATTCAGTGTTCATTCTTCCGGTGTTCTGTGCAGTGCGCACCGCATAAAGGCTGCAATTCACATTTCCATATCATAAACCTCGTGATATACGGTGCCAACGTTTATGATCACTTTTTGATGTACAGTTACAAGATGACATGGCATTATACGCAGGGTTGTCCTGAACAGAATGAGTCTATGTTTGTTGTATTGTGAAGAACATTTGCCGCGAACCACGCATCTGAATGCACTCATGACTAGGGCTGTGGCGGTCACAAAATTTCGTCAGCCGGTGATTGTCAAGCAAATAACTGTCGGTCTCACGGTAATTGACCGTTAATTAACAAACATATTTAGCATCTCCTGGCTTCCATAGCCTACAAGCCACTGCTGCAGACCTTAGGAACATCTACATTTTTAAAAGTCTAATAAATCCATGTAATATAGACTACACCTTCCCAATAAATCCAGTATTTATTTTAGACAAGTCTAAAGAAACATGATATGAAGAAATTGTAGTTTATTTCAGAAGAACAGAATAGCATACTCTGAATTGTCCTTATGTTAGGTCCTAATCTGGCTATGCCAAATGACTGTGGGCTACACTAGTTCATTTAGCAGGCATTCTTTTATAGTATGAAGAATACAATTGAACAAAGCTGAATAAAATAGAAAGGATATTTTCTCCAAACGATTTGAGGGAGTGCGCACATGCGGCTATTCTGTGTTGAGTGTTTAACAAAGAAATAGGTACTCCTATATACTTAATTTAGAGAGTTATTAATATAACTTTAGTTGTTCTACAAACGTTGGGCTATATGTTTTGATTTTTAATACAT